GGATGTAAAACAAAATTTTATTAAACCCTAGAACCATGCTTCTTATGAATCTTAGAAACGTTAGAACACTTACCTCAATCGATCCGGGGCCTGTATCAATTGAAGAACTCGTTCGATCACGAAAGGAGGAAGAATACCTCGCCCTCTACACGTATCCACACCTCGGGATGGATTCCAACAATTGGAACTTGTCTGCTAGGACCCGAATCTGCTATTCGATATATCCTTCGAGAAAACGAGACTTGGAACTCTTCGAACTCTTTGGATCTCCCCAAAAGCTCTCCAAGTTCTTTACCAGACGGCTCAAAAAATCTCACCAATGATTAGGGTTTTAATCTCCTTCTTGTAAGGTGATTTAACCCTAGTTCGGTCTAATTTTCGAAAAACCCGAAGTCTGGAACGGACGGTCCGGAATTGCACTTGGACCGTCCGTTCCAGCACATAGAATGGACAGTCTGCCTTTAACGTGGACCGTCCGTTCCACCACATAGAACGGACGGTCTGCGTCTTAACATGGACCGTCTGTTCCAGTCTACTGAACGGACGGACCACGCGTCTGGACCGTCGGGTCTGGACCGTGTGGTCTGGACGTTCCGGTCCGTCCGGTCTGGACCTTTCCGACTCGGTTCTTCGTCGTTTTCTCTCGTGCATTTGTCATTCCCTGCATGTGTGACCTTGTAGGCTCATTCGATATAGTAGTATAACCCGAAATCTCTATTCCGGATATAAAGTCATAGGTGATAACGCGAATCTAGGTGTATAAATAAGCTCAAGTAATAAAAAAACCTAGATACAGCGAATACCGCAAGGATACGGATCAACTGTAGTACCAGGGTTGAACACAGGGAATAGTTAACACTAAGAACAAGACTCGACTAAGAATCAGATCACGAAATAACAGATGGAATAGATGAATACCGAAAATAAAGCAATAAATAAACTAAGTAAAATCAGATAATTAAACCACCGTAGCTTCGGGATAACCTTAACGCGCAGGGATTGTTTCTAAGGATGGAGAATCTACGAATATCGAACTCTAATCGGGGATCTCAAGTTCTAATATCAGATTTGGCTCTCTCAAGTCCTAAATCCACTATCCAATAATTTAACCTATCGATCTCTCAACCTAATAGATTAAAATATCAAATGCATTAACGATCACTATCACAGTTCCTAAACCGATTAACCTATCTCTCAATAGTCTTAATCAATTCATTCAATGAATTCTTTCCGAATCTAATTCCAACTCTCGTTGTACATCAGAATCTAAGATCAATCAATCAACAGACCAAGAAGATTAAAAGCAATAAACTCAATTCAATTAAACCGAAGAGTATCGATAACATAGTCTCGGAAAATAAAAACCAAACAAATCCCTACAAGGTTAAATCCCTAGCTACAGTGAAACGGCTACTCACTACCCATAACAACGAACGAGTTCAAATCAATAAAGAGAAACATAGAAACAGATAAAGAAGACTCGCAGCGATCTCTCGACGACGATTCTTCAATCTCTGCTCCCGGGAAACTCCGTCTTGATTCTCTCTCGAGTTCTCTGGCTTCTGCTGTGATCTCTCGATGATTTTTGAAGTCTAAAATGTCCTCTCTTTATTGGCTTGGCGGCTCGGTTTCTTCCCTTTCTGAAAACGGAAGTCCAGATGCAAAATAGGAAGTTTTTCTGTAATGCAACACGGCCATGTCGAATGCAACACGGTCCGTGTCAATCCTCTGTTAAAAATCTGCACTTTAGACTTGGGCTGAACACGGCCGAGTTTGAATCAACACGGCCGTGTCGAATGCCAACACGGTCCTTGTCAATTCTCTGAGCAAAACGGCTATGGCGGGTTTATGTGCGAAGGATTTGGAAGGTTTATGAATTTTTATTGAAAAGCCTCTATTAGAGTCAGTAGTAGAATTGGGTTGGGTTGGTTTGTCTAAGTTCTATTTCTTTTAGAGGGTTTTGTTTTTAGGACAACCGTTTGGGTGGCATATTAATAGTCTGCTTGTTCGTCTTGGGGAATTATGCGTTGATATTGGAAAAGATTTGGGGCTGGATCGAGAAAGAACCTCTCGTAAAACAAATTCTTCAAATTTTCATCTCTCTTTGTTGATCAATCAAATTCTGGGTTTATCAGTTTGTTACATATTTTGTGACACCCGAAACCCGTGTTCTGCAAAAATCACGAGTTGCATAGGGACAATAATAAACAAATACAATGATCGAAATTACGCGGGATTTAAAAATTCTCGGTTTATACAATTATGCAGTGGAAACAAATACAAATGCGATAGTGTAAATGTCGAGAAGTACAAAACTCATAAAATGACACTACCAATCTTTTTGAAATAGGAATCTGCGTAATTCTAACCTAAAACATCTTGTCCTTAATCTTCATGCCACCTGTGTCTCGTGTCCGTTGTACATTCCCTTCCCGAGAGACGTCCATCTGAAGCATATATTTGGAAGGTCTTTTGTCGCAACCCCTCTCGATGCCCCTAGCTGAAACATTACATAACAACGTCCTAATCTACATGCTTAGTGAGAATCTCGGGTTAAACCCGAAGACCATACTCACATTGCAAATGGCCAACCAATGGCAGTATATAAATACATAATATACAACATGTCATATCAACCAATCCAATTCAGTCAACAATCACCCGAATATCAACCACAATCAATCCAGATGACATGTCATCGGGTAACAACCGTCAAATCATCTCTACGTGTCCCTAACACGAGACTGAAATCTCCAGCCTGAACACAACACACACAAACCACTGAGGCACGTAGGATAATCAAGGGATCTGGCTAGACAACCCGGAGAATCACAATCGATGGATCTGGACTCCCCAGTCCAGGACATATATACAAGTCACATCTCGACCCATCGGGTCTATCAGTAATACCGATACCATCAAATCATCTCTATGGGTGCATAACACGCGTAGGTAAGAACTCTCCATGTGCATCTCACAATCCCCTCACTCTTTTTGGTCGAAACCGGAGTAATAAAAATACAACAACTAGGCCCAAAACTTCATAAAAACATATCACACACAATCCATCCCCTCTGATACCGATATCACCTCTCGATGCTAGAGCGCCAGGTGCCTCCTCCAGGCCACCACCGACTATGTCAAGCGAAGTCATCAATCTGCTGACAACCTCTCATCGGCCATCCACCACGGAAATGCTCGTCAGACTCGAGCCCAGGTCTTTCAGAGCAATTCCGCATAACCTCATCGGGAGAATCTCTCAATTCTGAGTCATGGATAAATATATGTCAGTCTCTGCCGGGAATCACTCTCGAACCTGTTCCATAGTATGTGGAACGTCGGGGCGGTCATAGAGTAACTGTAAAGTTTCTTCATCTCATGATAGTCGAATCACTCAAGGTTATCCCGTAAATTATCGGCTCCAAGCTCCGCCCATAGGCGATCAATCACAATCATGTCTCCTCAATATGAAACTCGACCTGGATCAAGGGTCATAAGGAGGAGATCTCAAACAGAGCAACCATCGGAATATCATCTCCATACCCGACTACAATCACACGCTCGACAATACTCTGACCCTTTCGAAGTACGGTCTCACGCCATGCTAACTATCTGAATTCCCAATCACAAGCACCCATGCAAGAATTTCATATTAATCACACATACATACGTTTTTGTGTTGGTTTAGTGCTCTATGATGTACTGTTTGCGAGCTTTACTTGGATGCATTTGATGTATTGACGCTTTCTATGATTTATAGATTAGTGTTTCATTCATTACATGTTTTGCATACTTAAATATGTTATGAAATCCATGTATTGTTATGAACTATACTAAACTCCCTAGTCATGTATCATTGTGCGAATAATGATATACTAAGACTAGTATGATGTGTGATTGATGATCATATAAACGATCATAGGTATTGGATACGATCACAATCATAGGTATTCGTTGGAGAACGGAATACTGGATTGACCCGCATGAGATTGTCACATGGACTAGCGTCATGACTTGAATCTCATATGGCGGTTCCATGATTGGATCCTAAGACCTGAGATATCTACGGAATCCAACATGAGGAGTTGCGTGCTTTGAATACGTCAAACGTCCTGCGTCACAGGAGGATTATAAAGGCGTATATCAGGTACGAAACGAATCATGTACTGGATTGTAGATAGTCAAGATGGGATTTGTACCTCTCGTAAAAGAGAGAGATATCGTTGGGCCCCTCGTGTGAGCGAGACTGTAGAAATGTGTGGCCGCACTATAGACGAATGTCATCTATTTCAGACAGTCAAACTCAGTGAACGAGAAAGTAGTCGAATCAGATAAGGTGGCTTGTCCATGCCTTATGTTCGACATATGATATCGAGATACAAAAGGATCATCAACCGGAATCATCTTTGGCGTTCGTAAGATCACGAACAAACTCTATTCAAGATAGGTAGTCATAATGTCTTGCTAGAGACCGCCTATTGATGACATGCATTTTGGTGACATTTTGGTATAGGATGTCTAGTGCATTTTACTCGGTTTTGCATATTTATAGGCATTCTAGAGCACATTTGGTCTCGATATTGCTTGGTTGCTTTCTTTGGTGTCAAAACAGGTATTCATGCATAAAAGAGAGCAAAAGGAGTGGAAAACATGGACTACGGAACATCACAGACGAAACGGGAACATTTGGAGTTGTTCCGGAGAAAAACATGAAGCCTAAAAAGTTAGATCTTGCAAGTCCAATAACTTCCACTCTACAAGTCCAAATTGCGTGTCCTCTACCTCATTGGAAAGCTCTCTTCAATATCTACGCATAGACACAAGATCGCACAAATCCGACATTGGAGCAGAAAGTTATGAGCAAATCTGTCAAGCATGTTCGAGTTGAAGAATCGACACGGACCGTGTTGCATTCGACACGGTCGTGTTGTGTTCGTTCTGAAAAAAGCCCAAATCTTTTATCAGCAAATGTAATAAAAACAGAATATTTGTTTTCAAATATGGTACTAAAGGATTTGACCAGTAACTTCATTCGCTGCAGAATCGGGAACGGCCTAAAAGCGCACTTTTGGCATGATAATTGGACAGACTTAGGACCGCTTATCAAGTATGTTGGGAATGATGGGCCAAGACTGCTGAGAATTCCTCTAAATGGGCATGTAATAGAGGCCACGAGGGAGGGAAACTGGTTCTTACCGGGAGCTAGGTCGCAGCGAATTCAAGAGCTGCAAATCAAGCTCTTGGGTATCCCAGCGCCTAGTCAAGAACGTGGGCAGGACATTTTTGAGTGGAAAAGTGCAACTAACGTCTTCTCCGACAAGTTCTCCACAGCAGCTACATGGAGACTGTTAAGGAATGTTGGGCAAAGATTGGAATGGTCATCTATGGTCTGGTTTAAACAGGCAGTACCGCGACAAGCATTCACCCACTGGATGATTATGCAGGAACGCCTACCAACACGGGACAGACTGCGCAGATGGAACCTCATACAAGATGCGACTTGCAAACTTTGTGGTGAGGAGGAGGAGTCACACCGACACCTATTCTTCCGATGTTCGTATAGCTCAGAGGTATGGACAAACTGGGCAGGGAAATTGTGGAACAATCCCCCGGATGACTTGTATAGGTGCCAAGCTTGGATAGCGAGCATCCCCCAAACTGAAGAACGTATGATGAGGACCGGAACCCTGATCAAAGCACTCATACAACACAAGGTATATGCACTTTGGAGGGAGCGGAACTGTCGAAGTTTCAACAGCACAGCACAAACTCCGAACATCTTGCGAGCTCAAGTAGATCAATCGATGAGAAGCACTCTCCTTTCACTCCAACAAGGATTCGAATCTGCGGACAATACATTACTGCAGAAATGGTATTTTTACACTCTTCCCAACCTAAATGAGGAATAGATTAGTATAGACAAAGCGACAAAGTTGCATTGGTTGTTCCTGAGTAAAGGGTCATTGCGAAAGCTTGTAATGTGGATCTCGGATCCTGGACTATGTCCCACCTATTTTTGATTAATACATACCAAATTTTATCAAAAAAAAAAAAAAAATATGGTACTAAAGTTGCAATAACAAATTTGTACTAAAGAAAAGAAAAAAAAAATATTTGCTATATGTAAGAGAAGAACGAAATAGAAAATTATGCTTCGTGTTTTCATCTTCTTTTTTTCTCCTTTATTTTCTGATCTAAAATCAAAAAAATATTTTTTATTTTGTACAACATATTATGAGTATGAGATAGCAAAAACTAATATGATATCAGATCTATATGTTTTAGAAGACCTACTAACACAAGCTATGCACAAAGAAACACTAAACAAATACTAGAAAAACACAACAAGGCGACACAAAAATCTAGCACAAAGAGAATTAGATTTGCACCAAAGTGGGCAAAAAGAAGCCAACAACAAGAGAACATCGATGAATCTGCAAAAACAGATTTGCAGAGTAAAAGAGAGACGCAAAAGATATTTACACTAGAACTTTACTCATTCAAGTAGTAAAACAGAGTAGAGGAAGAGATAAACTAAGATGCAAAATACACAATCTTGTATTCCATTTTTTTATGGAAAATACTACAACCAATGGGTTGCCAAGATGAAAACCGCATTTAGATCTAGAAAGTTATGGGATGTTGTGAGTGAAGTGATTTCAAAACAACCAAAGTTGGGGAGAAATCCAACAGCGGAACAACAGAAAAGTCTACAAGATTGGAAAGAGCTCTATGTTAAAGATCAGAAAGTTTTAGTGTTGATATAAAATATTCACAGGAGAAATCTTTACACATACAAGAAATAGAATCAGCAAAAACAGCTTAGGAAGCACTAAAGGCAGAGAGATATGTCATGGTTAGAGTGCAAAGGCTTAAAATGGTATTTTGAGACATATCGATGGAGGAGAACGAAACATTGAAAGAATATGCTAAAAAAGTCAGAGTTGAATGCAGAAATGAGGTCTCATGGAGAAAAGTTTACAGAAAATGAGGTTGCTTAAAAAATCTTATGTTCATTGATTACCGATTACGACATTTTGTGTTGAGGTTATTGAGCAAACTAAAAACCTCAAGACTATAACAGTTTCAGCTTTGATCAATGCAATGCAAAATCAAGAACAAAGATCATTAATAGAAAGATAAGTGAAGGAGAAGGAGCATTATATGCAAACTTTCAAGCACTAAGGATTGGTCATTTTGTAGAATCTAGTAGACATAACTCTTTCATATCAAACCTAAAAGTTAAAGGCGGAAAATGGTACAGTTTGTGTAAGAGAAACAACCATAATGATGAAGAATGCTACTACAAGAACAAGAGAGAAAATATAGATCAAACTACACAATACAAACAAAAAGGGTCATGTTTTGTATGTGGCAAAGTGGGTCACGAAGCAAGAGAATGTAGAAACAAAAAGTATCAACCAAGAAATGCGTTGATTCATCAAGTCCTAGAAAAAGAAAAAGGAATTTGTAATGATATTTGGCTTATACACAACGGAGCATCGAATCACATGACACAAGATGATTGATATTTCACTTACCTAGACAACAATGTTTTGTTGGGTTTCACTACAAGTTCATAGCATTCGAGTTCATCAAATCGAGTTAGGGTTTCTAAGTGCAGAAGAAATAATCAAAACCTAAAGCAAACCAACATGCAAACCCGACAATCGTGTATATCACCGAGGGAATCGATACTTACCTCGTTCTTTAAGAAGCGTGAAGTAGAAATCGATCCGGGACCTATCTTTGACCACCTAGGGCTAAAGATACAGTCTCTGTACACATATCCACACCTGGAAATGATTCCAAATGTTTTGAAAATGATCTGCTAGGATCTGTGAAGAAAATCGGGGTTTCAAAAGACTCGTGATCAATCCCGCGAGCTAGAACGCAAAGGAAAGCACTTCTCTTCTACTCTAAGATTTGTCTCTGAGTATTGGGGTGAGTCCTTAAGTTTGGACGGCGTTTTTAAACTTAATAGAGCTTCCAATGCCCCAAAATCCGAGATTTGAAAATTTTCCCGAAATTTGATTCGGGTGAACCAAATCTGGTATGTCGGACCGGACCACGTCGTTTTGAGTGGAATGTAAGCTTGGTCTGCCAGATCTGGAGTCTGGTTCAAACACATCAAATCTTCTGCCATACCAACCCAAGCTATTTCTGGCGGACTGAAGTCTTGGTTTGCCAGATATGACAAATCCCATCTTGAGTGTCGATTATCTCCACATGATTTGTCACAAAATCTGATCAACATCGTTATGATCATCCAGTTAAAGATGACATTTGACGCAGTCAAGACACGTTACTCCTCATGTAAGATAATCTAGACATCTCAAGTTTGAGGATCTAATAACGAGCTGCTACATGAGATTCAAGTCTTGGCTCATGTCCATGTGACAATCTTATACGGGTCATCCAATCATTCTTTTCCAACGTGTACCCATTATTGTGATTCACATCCAATGCACATGATCAACTCCATAATCATCAATCACACTTCATACTAGTATTAATTTATCATCGTTTCACGATAACAACTGATCAAAAAGTTTAGAATAATTCTGTAATGACTCGAGAATACCGATGTGTAACAAATATGCAAATCATATAAGAGAAAAAATAATACATTTATAAACCAATGAATCAATACATAGTTCAAAATGTTATATCACAGATTATCCTAGAGAATCACAACCAACAATCTTCAATATGATCTATGATCAATCACACAAATATTTAATCCCGATATCCCTAACATGACCATCATGCTTTGACGAAAGGAGATGCTTCGTCAATGGGTTAGCGATATTAGCATCTTTCGACGCTCTGCTTATCTTCACGTCTCCTTTGTCGATGATTTCTCTAATCAATTGAAATCACTTGAATATTTAATTAGAACTTTGGTGTGACTGAGGTGCTTTAGCTTGCGCCAGGCGCTCTATTGTTGTCACAGTACACTTCAATGAAACTTGCAATGGCAAGAATGACACCTAGATCTCCCACAAATTTTCTGATCCAAACGGTTTCTTTAGTTGCATCCGATTCGACTATATACTCGACTTCTATAATCGAATCTATGACAATTGATTGTTTGGAACTTTTTAACTAATGGCCCCACCATTCAAACAGAAAACATAACTTGATTGTTACCTGAAGTGATCTCTACATACAAAAACAACCCAAAATTTCAACTGGCAGATCCGTTGGAAAAGGTCAAAAATCCGTTGGAAATCAACTTTTTCAATGGATTTCCAGCGGATAAATCCATTGGAATTTATCCGTTGGAAAAACGTCGTTAGAAAATCGATTCCGTTGGAAATCCGTGGCAATTTCCAAACGGAATTCCAACGCAACAATCTTGGCATGTTTCAACGGATTTCCAACGATTTTTTCCGTGATATAATTTCAACGGATTTCTAACGGATAGTTCCGTCGTATAATTCCAACGGAATTCCAACGACAAATCCGTGGTCAATTTCCTACGGGTATATGTTAGAATATCCGTTAGAAACTTTCTAACAGATTTACAACGGTGTTTGCCACGGATATCCGTTGGAAATGTTGTTTGAATCATCGTCGGAATGTTACAACGGTATTTACAACGGCTATCCGTTGGAAAATTATAACGGATATCCGTTGGAAAACTGCGCTGGACATTTGCAACGCTATTTGTGACGGATATCCGTTGGAATTTATAGGGAATCCAACGGATATCCGTTGGAATGCCCGTTAGAAAAAGAAAAAAAATTAATAAAAAAATAAAATAAATATTTAAATATAAAATATATATATATATATATTATATTAATAAATAAATATATATAAATATAATAAAAGAAAATTAAAATATTAAAATAAAAAAATTGTTCAAATATTACAGAAAATTTAAATATTTCAGAAAATATAAATTAATTGGCACTACGGTTTCTTCGTCTTCGCTGGTCCCGAGATTACGTGCCGTCGTTTCTCCTCCCGAGCTTGGCGGCGTGTTGTGGAGTGGCCGATCACCTCGCATAAGCTCAACAATTTATTCGAGGATACTCACTTGTTGCCTCGTCGCCGCAAGCTGTTGTTCGAGTGTCTCGATCCGGCATTGTTGTTTAAGATCACTCTGCATGCCAGGAGGAATTGCAGCACCGAAATCATCAAACAAATCTCGCTGCAATCCTCCTAATCCATATATGCGACCCTTATTTGGAGAGACCGATTGAAAAATAAATAAAATATTTAAAATAAATGTAAAGTATTAAAATTTAATATTTAAAAAAGAATTATTAAAATTTTTACCTCCACATAGCAACGATCTTGATCTGATACAGAGAGACCGGATGAAGAACCCGCTGAGTCACCAATATTTTGCGAGAGTTGGGTAAGTCTCTGAGTCATCGTGCTTACAACGCGTTCAACATGGGGATCGACATATAATCCATCGGACTTTTTGTGTGTCCGAGCGACCAACTCTACAATTCATGGCGTCCTCCCCATTTCTCTCTCCTAATATATATATATATATATATATATATATATATATATATATTATTAACGCAATAAAAATTCTACAATTAAAAAATAAATTAAAAATTAAGGTTTAAATAGTACCATCTCTTTTTGTCTCTTCTTGAATGATTTAGCACCGGAGGTATGACGATGGGGACCATCACCCTTGATTTTTTGGGCCAGACGACTTTGTTTCACCTTGGAACTCTTGTTCTTGAAATGGTCTGAGTTCCAATATGTAATAAGCTGTTGGTACAAGTCATTTGTTGCCCACTCCGGTGGCAGTCCATGCAGCTGATAGCTGCGTTTGGCATTGTTCATCATTTGTTTCAACCGCTGCATGCCGAGTTAGTTGAACTCTTTGTAAACTTTATCGGTGTACTTTTTCTTCCACCGAAAAGATTGCTTT